CCATTACTGTTACTGAAATAAACTGTTACCCTGACCAGGGTGTTTGCTCCCTCTTGCACAGTGTGTGCTTGGATCAAGACAAAGTGAGTAAAATCTGTTAATATATAGCTGAAGGAATGAAAAAAATGGTGACAATTGCAGAGACATTTGTCAACAGTGAATGGGCTGAAAGTGTATATAGGTGCATCTGAAAAAATGAGAATATTGTGAAAAAGTTCAATTGTCTTGTTATTCATTTCAGAAACTGAAAATCATATATTATATAGATTCATTACCCTTAAGAGTGAAATATTTCAAACCTTTATTTAGTGTAATGGCTGGCAAATAATGAAAACTCTGTCTCAGAAAAAATATATTGTAAACCAGTTCAATATTGTAAACTAATAGTGTCACACCCTTATCAGCTCATTAACTCCAAGACATGAGCTACTAATGTCACATTCCTCAAGTCCAGTCAGTCCTGAACATCTTACCTGCTGAGGAGACAAAGAAATGGACTGTTGCTCAGTATGTCCTCTTTTTAGATTAAAGTAAAGTTTGCATTTCATGTGGAAATCAAGGTCCCAGAGTCTAAAGGAAGAGTGGAGAGGTCCAGAATCCATGTTGCTTGAAATCTAGAGTGAAGTTTCCACAATCGTCAAACTTTGTAAGTCAAACTTACAAGAACTAAAGGCTTGACATATTTCACTCTATGTGTAATGAATCTGTAAAATATGATTGTCACTTTCTGAAATGGTTGACAAAAAAAAATGTAACTTACAATATTACAAAGTTATAGTATTCTAAATTTTGATATGCCCTTGTAAACTCTAGGATGTGTTCTGAAATTCTGGGGTGCTGAATGTCTACAGATTTATTGTTAAAAATCTACTTCCTTATTAATTAGATATAACCGGATTAGTTACCAAATCAGCACGGTTGATATTTTAGGAAACCTTTTTATTTTATTTTATAAACTATCATTTAAACAAAGCACTGACCTAACAATTTATGAGAGACATTTTAGTTTAGTACCTTGAGTTAGTCAGCATCTTTACTGACCCTTAGTGGCATAATACTTAAAGGCACTTTTGCACTGGCTTCAATGAATCAACTGTTAAATGAACTGTCTCTCTGCTTGCATCCCAATGTTTGCGTCTGCCTGTGAACTAAATCTTTAAATTATTTCCCACAAATTATTTGTAACTCCATCATCTTCATATTTTTTCTACAGAATTATTTTAGTCTAAAACTGAAAGGCAGTAGGTGATGTGCATTTCATTTTTGTCATTCAGCAGCTCCTTTCAGTTCTATGACACATGGAATATGCTTACAGCTTCCTGATTTTTATTTTATTTTTTTTGTCTCCAATATTGTTAGGCTAATTATTTAAGTCAAAAAAATAAAATGATTTAAAAAGTACATGGAAATACACAAGTGTCACCTGTTATTGGCATGAATCAGGTGCTTGTCATGGCTGACAGATGAATGTCGCCTATAATTCATGCATAAAGGCGGTGTGACAAACAGACAGAGATGAAAACAGGTTTGACTCACTTCCTCCTCTGCAGGAATGCTGATTATCCGTTCCTGCTCTTTTTCTCCTTGGCTCACGTCCACTCGCCGCTCTTCAAGACTCCGGCCTTTGCTGGAAAGAGTCGCCATGGTTGCTATGGCGACAACATGGAGGAAGTGGACTGGATGATTGGTGAGTCAGGAGCGGGGAGCAAATGTGTTAATACGTGCATGCATTTGTTGCTTTTGTCTTCATTGACCCAGCAGAAATCAGAAAAGATAGAATAATTCATGTTTTTGAACCAACCCATGCTTTATTTTAGGTAAGATAACCGAGACAGTGGATTCCCTGGGACTAGCCAACAACACCCTCATCTATTTCACATCAGACCACGGTGGACACATAGAGAGTGGCCCGAATGGAAGCTGGAATGGTATATACAAAGGTAAAGCATGTTAAACTGTTTCTGTTAAAAGACATCCCTGTAGACATTTGTGTAATTTCTTCTGTTGCTTCATCTCGAGGTGGGAAGGCCATGGGGGGCTGGGAAGGGGGAATCAGAGTACCTGGGGTATTTCGTTGGCCTGGCAGATTGGCAGCGGGAAAAGTTGTGGATCAACCCACGAGTCTTATGGATCTCTACCCCACGCTGAAATATTTAGCCAAGGATACACAACCAGACAGGTATAGTCTGTTCTCTTTCTCCAGAGTCTTTCTAAAAATTATTAAATTGTTTAATTGTTGAATTTATGCTAAGTTACACAATTTCTTTTAAAAATATATATCATGATTATTCTTTTACAGAACAGCTGCTTAGTAGTTCACACAATTAAATTATTCCAAGTCAAAATAAACATTTCAGCTATTTAAAATCTTATTTTTCCTTGGACAAATTATGTTTTTTTTTTCTTCCAGTGAACTGTACTGAGCTTCCACCTTTAGACATCTACAAATACATTTTTCACCATCTAGATGAAGTTTTTATTCAACTAAACAAGTTTTTGAATGAGAAACGAGTTTTTGAAATATTTCAGTCTGGTTTTAAACAATTACACATCACTTAAACAGCTTTGGTTAGGGTTTGTAATGACATTCTGTTAATGATTCTGATCAGTTTGTGATACTTGTACTCCTGGACCTTACTGCAGCTTTTGATACTGTGGATCACAGTATCCTTATAGCAAGGTTAGGACACTGGGTTGGGATTACAGGTGCAGCATTAGAATGGTTCCACTCATACCTAAGTGACAGGAGTTTCTATAATAAGGTTGGAAATAGTGTATCTGTATCAATTACTCTTACCTGTGGGGTCCCACAGGGCTTGATTCTTGGACCCCTTTTATTTTCACTCCATCTGCAGCTTTTGGGATCTATCCTGAGGAAACATGGCCTTTCATTTCATTGTTATGCTGATAATTGTCAGATTTATCTGCCCTTGAAACCCAACAGTTCCTGCTCCATTCGCCTTCTGTTAAAATGCTTTTAAATCTCTCCTTAAAACACACCTGTCTTCACAGATGTCACAGTGTGATTTGATTTACTATTTCATTGTTGTTGTTTTTGTGTTTTTATAATTTAATGTTTAATGCTTTTAATTACATCTTGTTATTTTTATTTACTGCCCTGATCTTATTGTTAAGCACTTTGGTAAGAGGTGCTGTTTTAAATGTGCTTCATAAATAAATTTGACTGGACTTGACTTGACTATCTGAAATGAAACACAATTTCTGATAGCTCTCATTTAATTTTTAATGTTAATATGAGTGGTTTGTTTGGATGGGTTTAATTATTATGTGGGTGGGCATCCCCCTTTCCCAGTCTCATCCATAGCCATGCTTCTGACCCATTCTCAGTTGTGGGCACTTTAGATATAAGTTTTACTAGCAGAAATATTATTTTACTTATCTTTAGTTTCAGGTATGACTCGTAAGATTGTCGTTCTGTCCAGAGGGAATGTTAGTAGTGGCAACTAAAAATATTTCAGACAGGATTGTGGTTTGAAATTTTTTTAAATACAGTATGTTCCTCTCTCAGACATTTAGATGGCTTTAACCTCATGCCACTGTTGGAGGGGAAAGTGTTGTCATCAGAACATGAATTCATGTTCCACTATTGCAACTCCCATCTGAACGCAGTTCGCTGGCGCCCACCTAACAGTAAGTTCACACACAGAGCAGCGAGCAGATTCTTGCTTCTAACTTTCATGAACTGTGATCAGTTTCAAGTAAAAAAAGATAATCCAGACTGTAATCCTCACTGCTTTACTATCTTTTCATTCATTCAATAAAAATTAAAGCAGGGTACAACAGAAACACACTCAAATAACTCCACGGGTAAAACAAACTAAGTTATGAGCTATAGTTTAACACCGTTTTGTCCTGGCTCTTTAAAACATTTGCAGTAAAAATGCGAACCAAACATGTAATTGTTACCCAAGGGGTGCTGAGGGAGCTGCAGAACTCCCATTGGATGCTAGAGGACACACATGTCCAAATGCATACAGTTCAGCAGTGGTTCTCAAACTACTTGTGCCATTTCCCCCCTTCAGAACAAGAAACATTTTCAAATACTAATAAATTATGCCTTGCCCAGGTTTGACATGAATCCATGGCTATAAAACATCTGCTTATTTGTTCCACCAAAGGAAGTTTCTATGATTCAAAACTTTTCAGGGACATCATTGCACCGTCCTTCTTCTTCACTTGTGTGTATTTCTTTCCAGGTGACTCCATCTTTAAGGTGCACTTTTTCACTCCCAATTTTTCCCCCCCGGGAGCTGGTGGATGCTACAACACCATGTTGTGTTGGTGTCACGGAGAACATGTGACGCACCACAACCCGCCGCTGCTGTTTGACCTTCACCCTGACCCCTCAGAGTCCCGCCCGCTGACTCCTGAGACTGAGCCCAGATATGCAGAAATCCTCGAGCGGATCACCGAAGCTGTGGAGAGACATAAAGACACGTTCAAACACGAAGAGATGAAGAAAGCTAGCTCAGATGCTAACAGAGTTCAAAACCAACTAACCTGGGACAAGATTTTGTGGAGACCCTGGCTGCAGCCGTGCTGTGGGACTTTTCCTTTCTGTGGGTGCAAAGAGAACACAACACACATTTAGGACAGTTCTTTTGTTTAGGTTTGGTGGAAAGGATTCTAAAAGGCAAGAAAACGTCTGTCCACAACTCAAAGTGTTTAAAAATAATTTCAAGATGAAGATTTTTTGTTGATCAAGGTGCTTAGGACTGTTAAAGGTTTAAGGGTTTAATTAGATTTTTAAAAATCTCTACTGAAAGAGGTGGTGCTTTTTTTATTTTTTGTTGATTAAAAACTTTTAAGCAATGCATTTTTATTAAATAAATAGGTAGAATCTTTTATTTTACCGAAACAAAAAGAGAAACTAAAACATCATTTATACAGTAAGATAAGATGTGAAATTCAGAACAGTTTAAAAAATCAGTTATTGATTTAAAAAATATTGACTCAGGCATTTTAAAGGAGTGCAAATCCAGTAAATCATTCCAAAGATCTTTTTTTTTTAATACATTTTTAAATATTACTAATTTATTTCAAAATGCATTGAAATGATTTGATTTGATCACATACTTTTTTTTTTTACATTTTTGGTGCTGGGTGTAAAACCCTGAACTAATTTATAGCTTTTTTCTGGTTGTTCCTGCTTCAGCAGCCTTGAGACATTTTGGAAAGGAGCCTTTTCTCTTTTTAGAGTTTATTGTCTTTTCTCTAGTGTTCTCTTCTGACTTTGCCTCCAAACTCTGTCTGGCTCACTCCACAACTCTCACTGGATTTTTTTTTTTTTTTTTCCCATAAAGCTTCTTCTGTGTTATTTTAATGGAAAGTTTCACCCCAGCCTAAAGCCCTCAGACGAGGGATTAACAAGATTTAACAAGCAGTTTTTTTAATTTTCTTATTTATTTACATAAATCTCTTTTTTGCTGTTGTTTCATGGTCAATTTATGGCAAACAAAAAATTCCCTCAACATGATGCTGCTATTTCTATGACTGTAGGGTCAGTGCTGAGGAGGTGATGCTCTGCTCGGTGGTTGATTTAGTCTTGCCAATGGTTGTTGTTACTTTATTCATCAAATAAAATGAAAAATGGTTTCATTCAGATGTGTTTTATTTTTATTTTGACAATATATATCAGTCACACACAGTACAGTCTTGTTAGTCAGTGCAGAATAATCAATGACAACTTTAAAGTTAGTTTTTATGCCTTTTTACCTTGCCTTTTGTTTGTGTTATGTTTGTCATATACCCTGAATTTGACTTGTTTTGACTCATACACTAATAATATGCATGTTTTAACATTTCTTCCCTTAACTCATCTATTTTTATAATTCCAGCTGAGCACTGGAGCTGAAAACTCCTCAAGAAGGTAGTTAAGTATTTACGCCAATAGGGGGCAAAGTCAGACTGTGATCAGGACAATGAATGCTGTAGTTCTGAGGGAGAAGGGGGGTGTGGGGGTAAAATTACCCTCATGTGTCTGTGAAATGTACAAAGTGATGATAGAAATAATGACAGTTCCAGTAGATGCATGTTTTATGGGAAATCAAAAGCTGTAGGGAGTAAATCCAAAAACATAAAGATAAAGGGCAGTACTTTTAGCTACTGCTGTGCCATAGTGCAATGTTTTTATCTTTTTTTCCGTTTTATAACTTTGTCTTTTGATCTTTTTTCTTCATGAGCTGCTTTCTTATTCTTCTATGTGCCATTATCCTCAGAAATGCTGAACTCTGACCACACGTTTCTTTTTCCGTTCTTTGGGTCTCCTTTCACCAACATCAGGTGCAAGAACTTAAACAAACGCTGACCTACTTTGACACACTTTAATAATGAAAGGATCATGAAGGCCTGAGCGAACTCCTCCTCTATCGGTATCATCCCCATTCATTACCATCCTCATCGGCACTGTTTCCTTTCAGCAGCGTTTTACTGCCAAAACATCAAAGTTAGCGTTCTATCACTGTTCTTCTTCATCTGACGCCTCCTAATCGACTCAGAACTGCTTTCTGCATCTCCTGTGTTATGCCCTCCATTTCTCCTCCTCCCCTCCCTCCAGAAATGGCTCTTGTTTTGTGAGCGGGGAGACAAATTTCATCCCCATCACCACTGTAATCGCTGCCATCACAGTCGTAGTATTTACTCCTCTCCCTCCAGCAGAGTCCCGCACATCAAACACTCCACAAGTTCATTACAGTGGCCACTCCATTATGTCCCTAACAGTAAATCATGCAGTCAACCATACATAACGATATTTGGCTGTACATCAGAGTTAATGATGGCTGGTGGGATAGAATGTTTCTGGCTGTACATCATGTCACACGCAAGGGTAACAGCTTGCACATGTACGCACATAAGACAACATGAGTGTGTGCACAAGTGCACACGCGCTCGGGAACAAACATGCGCACAGTATATCACTTTGTTTTGAACAGATCAGTGGTTTTCTGTAAAGGTCAGTGTTTCATGGTGTGCCATAAAGCATTTTTACAACCGCCTGTTTGACATACATAAACACACATACAGCTTGAAAGGAGAGGACTGTGGCATAGCAGCCGCTTGAAATCACTTGCCTGCACCACAAACAGCGATAGCTGTGTGGAAACTGTGGCTTTGTGTTGCCGTTTCACCTTCTTTTTAATTTGCATGAGGATGAGGCAAATTTAAAATAAGCAAAGCTTGAAGAAGCAATCATTACTGACCGAAGGACTTTAATAAATTTGTTTGCGAAAATCGGTTTTTCATCTTGGCAGATGAATTTCGTTGTCAAATTAAATTCAATAATAAAGTCTAGCCTAATGGATGCTATTATGATGTAAAATGTGTACACATGACATGATTGCAATGCAACCAGTTCAAATTAATATACCAATTTAAGAGACAGCAAACAAGCATTGCAATTTTAGGCCTTTGGTCTTGTATATTTTCTAATTTCTCTGTTAACACAATGTCTTCAGAGATCCTGCTTCATTACGTTCTTACCATATGTGCATCACGAAGGTAAACTGAAGGGAATTATAATTGAGAAAAGAGTGAACAAGTTCATTTGTGGTCCTTTCTTTTTCACAGTTGGAAGTGATTGCACTCGCACGTCTGGGGATCTGAAGAACATTTTTGCTTTAAGCACAGAGCTGAGGCTGTGGAGGCAGTAAGCCCAGTTTGGCTCAAGAGAAGAAAGCAAGAGTCTCGGCAAAGCAGCAACTGTCGTATCTATTCAGAAACAGAAGAATGAAGTTTGTGTTTTTATTTGATATGTGCTGAGAACATTCTTTGATCGAAATTCAACAAATGCAAGTGATCAATTGTTGAATTGTTCACTTGTTATCACTGGAAAGTTATCATTTGGATGGTGCCAAAAGCTTTAATGTAATTATTGACCCCTTATGAAAGGAATTAAAAATATTTTTGCCTTTTTCTGTATCCATTTGTCTTCCTGCCTGTTACCAAATTTACCAGTGAGCATTTTTTCTTATAAACCTCACAGAAAGCTATCATTTAATGCACCTTTACAACTGATCATCTTTAGGAGTCAAAGTCAACATGGCTGTCACAGCTAAGCAAGCACAACGATGTCTAAAACTCAATAAGTTTTACAGATGTGGAGCTAAAATTTGATGTAGTATTAGCTGAGAGTCATTCACAAAATAAACTCTGAGTGCACAACAATGATGTTGCTTGATTTTACACATTATGCTGCTTTCAAAGTTTGACAAAAACCAGAGAGTAATGTGCATTCCTTCAAAAAAAAAAAAAAAAATGCTACCCATTTAATGACTTTAGTGATTTTGATTTTTCCCAAACCTCCATTTGAGGGAAAAATAAAGTCACTGGATTTTGCTCTAATCTCCGTCACTCTGCTGAGTTTGCAACTGTATTATTGCAACTTCCCCAAAATGTAATAAAACAGTTCACAACAAATTTTAAAGTTTTATTGTTTTCTGTTTTGTTAGTGAAACAAGTGTAATTTCACATCCTGATGTCTAACTCATTTGTTTAAAGTTCACTGATTGCAGTACAATAAAGCACTCATGTATTGCTCAATGTCTCAAGATCAGAAAGCTGTTAAAAATGCAGATTATGTGACGTGTACAACAGATCCTTAAAGCAGTACAAAAACAAAAGGGACAAAGAAAAACGAGAATAAAAAAGAGAATATCAATGAGTGATGCAAAAAAGTCATCTTGTTAAACACTCCAGTCATTTCTGGTTGCTATAATGATAGGCACACCCTGTTTCAAATCCAAAAGGCAATGTGATGAGCAAAGTCCAGAAAAGTTAAAAATCGTAGAACAAACACCATTTGTTTTCGTCAGTTCTAGAATGGTTGGAGTAGCTGTTACTTTCATTCTGGGATGTTGCTTTTGAAAACTTTATTTCCTCCTTTTTTCTGGATGTAAATGGCTTTTTTTTTTGGGTGGGGGATGATTACTTCTCCTGGTATCAGATGCTGTGCAGCTGGAAGGATTTTTACTGAAACATTTTTACTTTTGACATTTGTTATGAAGTGTAACCATGACAGTTTTTACAACCAGGAGCAGCTGATTACCATCTCAAAGCTCAAATATTATCTCAAATACAGCCTCAAATCCCAAATGAGTTGTAAAGGAGGCACCATGGATGCATCTCCATGTACCTGACAGAGGTGCTCTAGTGACTTACTGCTGAGGTCCTTGGAGCTGGCAGGACACATGGCTCATGACAACAAGAAGACCAGGATCATCCCCTGCCACCTGCAGCTAGCTGTCTGCAATGATGAGGAGCTCAACAAGCTGCTGAGAGGAGTGGCCATCGCTCAGGGAGGGATTCTGTCCATCATTCAGGTGATTCTGCTGCCCAGAAGGACCAAGAGGCCCGAGGGGTCTGGGTGGACGGATCGGCACCTGCAGCCAGTTTCTTCAGCTCAGCTGCGGGAGATCCTTCCTGCCCACAGCCATCAGCATCTATAACAACTCAGTGAAACCAGGATGATGAGCTACAACAACATTTAATTTCCCTTTGGGATTAATAAAGTGTTTTGAATTGAATTGAATTGAATTTGAACTGAAGTGCACATAATAAACCAGTGGCAGGTGAGCAGAAAACAGCAAGGAAAGG